CGACCGATGAACCAGGAGATCATGGTTCGATTCCTGGTCAGGGCACATGCCCAGGTTGCAGCTCCATCCCCAGTGTGGGAAGTGCAGGAGGCAGCCGATCAATGATTTAATGTTTCTATCTCTCTCCCTCTCCCTTCCTCCCTGAAATCAATAAAAATATATTTAAAAAATAGAATGTCTCTAACTATATAGCACAACAGTGTGCACATTTATCCATTAAAATTATAGCTGCACAAGCATAATTAGACTCTTAAGGCTTGGACAAGAGATGACATCTTAGGAGGGACACATAATTAAGGTTAACCCCCAATGAGCAATATGGTCTTCTTTGTTGCCTTCTCCTAAGATCTCAAAGCAAACACTTTCTTCTCCCAAATACTCAATGATAACATTTGCTTGGTATCTGCTTTGAAGTCAGTTGCTGGGCTGGGTGATGAGTAAACTCTTCAGTCCCTGCCTTCACAGAGATCACTGAAGGGAGTGACAGAGTGGCATGGTTTAAGTAGGATGAGGAGTTATAGTTTAGTAGATGGTGCTCTGGGGACATAGAGGAGGTACCTAAGAGAGTTTGGCTAAGGGTAACAGGAAGGATATCCTGGAATAACAAAGAGATGGCGAGGTAAAGAGCGAGCGAAGTGTTCCCGAGAGACCAACAAGGATTAAGGACCTGGAGCACATAATGAGTTTAGGAAACGAAAATTTGTTCATCTGACTGGAGTATAGACTGTAAGGAAAAAATGGACTGTACAGGTGAGGCTGGAGAAGGGAGCAAATACCAGGTTACACAAGACTTTAAAACCTCACTATGCATTATCCTAAGAACAGCGAACAAGGGGAGAGTGTGATTAGATTTGCAATATAAAAGGATGTTTGGGCCCTGACCAGTGTGGCTCAGTTGGTGGCACATCCTCCTGGATCCCCAGTAGGGGGCGTGCAGGAGGCAGCTCATTGATGTTCTTTTTCTCATCCATGTTTCTATCTCTCTCTCCTTCTCCCTTCCCCTCTCTCTAAAATCAACAAAAACATATATATAAAAAGGATGCTTTGCCTAGTGTGGAGAACTAACTGAAAGGAGGACCAGACAGATTCTCCTGCAGTAGAGCAGGTGAGAAACAATGAAGGAAATAAACTAAAGTACTATAGGTGGAAGAAGGGACAAAGAAGAAACAGAACAGAATCTGGTGATTGGCTATTGGAGGTGAGGCAGAGGGATTACTCAACTTTGCCACCTAGATTTCTACCTTGGGCAAGTGGATAGACAGAAGTATCTGTTGAGTTATATTATTTTAAAAAAAATATTTTTATTGATTTCAGAGAGGAATGGAGAGAGAGAGAAACATCAACGATGAAAGAGAATCATTGATCAGCTGCCTCCTGCACATCCCACACTGGGAATTGAGCCTACAACCTGGGCCTGTGCCCTAACCAGGAATCAAACGGTGACCTCCTGGTTCATAGGTCGATGCTCAACCACTGAGCCACACCGGCCGGGCTTGAGTTATATTATTAATGTTCACATAGAGGCTTCATATGAATTACCCGGAGGTATGGGAAGTTAGGCAAAATGTCTTCCTCCACTGCCTTCCACATTGCCCTACCCAGTGGCTCTGAAACATCTGCTAGTGGTAACCACTTCCTTTTTCTGGAAAATGCTTTCTCTCTACTAGATTTCCTTGACAGCAGGCTGGCCTAGTTTATGTGGTCATCTCTTTCCTTCTCTGTTGATGTTTTCCAGCAGCCTCAGCCCCTGCTTTCCTCACACGCGCTCCCTGAAGGGCAGCACCCACTCTCATGCTTTGTTGTTGATGTTTGTTTTTCGGCTACAGCAATTGTGATGACTACTCCTGAATCAGACCTCTCTGCCAAGTTCTAGGTCTGCATACGCTACTGTCCACTAGACATATCCAACCGGATGTCCAAAATGGAAGTCATCCTTTTACCTACAAAATATATTTCTCCCAAATGACACTTGGGAGTAACTTGGTGCACAGATAACAAAAGGAAATGAGGAATGGTCCTTGCTATCAAGGGGACAGAGACAAAAGATAAAGATTGTAATTATAATATAGTAAGTATTACAATGTGAATAAACCCAGGATTCTACGGAGACGCACAAAAAGGGGGCACCTGATCCTAGCTGGTTTGGCTCAGTAGATAGAGCATCAGCCTGTGGACTGAAGGGTCCCGGGTTCAATATGGGTCAAGAGAGTTTGACTCAGGTCAAGGGCGTATGCCCGGCCTTGGGCTCAATCCCCAGTAGGGGGTTGCAGGAGGCAGCCGATCAATGATTCTCTCTCATTATGTATGTTTCTATCTCCTCTCCTCCCTTCCTCTCTGAAATCAATAAAAGGGGGGGGCACTTGGCCCAGCTTGGAGTTCAGGGGTTTCTAGAAGAAGCTGGGTGGAAGGGCAAAGGGTGGGAATGAGGGACATCTGTAATACTGTCAACAATAAAAAAAAAAATGAAGACAGCCTGGCCGGTGTGGGTCAGTGGTTGGGCATCAACCTATGAACCACGAGGTCGAAGTTCCATTCCTGGTCAGGGCACATGCCCAGGTTGTGGGTTCAATCCCCAGTGGGGGCCGTGCAACAGAGAGGAAGAGAGAGGGATAGAGAGTTAGAAACATCGATCAGCTGCCTTCTGCACACCCCCCACTGGGGATGTGCCCACAACCAAGGTACATGCCCTTGACTGGAATCGAACCTGGGACCCTCCAGTCCACAGGCCAACGCTCCATCCACTGAGCCAAACCAGTCAGGGCAATAAAAATATATTTTAAAAAATATTACATATCTTATCTGTATCAAGTTTCACATATCCTAGAGCTCTATAACAGTCATTTTTACATCTCACATTTCCTTTTCTTTCTTTAAAATATTAAATCACTTCAAATGATAGAATAAAATAATTATAAATTAAATTTATAATTAATAGAAATTGACATGTTCTAAGCTGGTAAAGGTTACTGTTCTGTCAGCTTATTCAAATGATCTGCTAAGAAGTTTCTTTCCGCCGAAACCGGTTTGGCTCAGTGGATAGAGAGTCGGCCTGCGGACTGAAGGGTCCCAGGTTCGATTCCGGTCAAGGGCATGTACCTGGGTTGCGGGCACATCTCCCAGTGGGGGATGTGCAGGAGGCGGATGATCGATGTTTCTCTCTCATCAATGTTTCTAGCTCTCTATCTCTCTCCCTTCCTCTCTGTAAAAAATCAATAAAATATATTTAAAAAAAAGTTTCTTTCCTAGTTTTATGCTGTCCTGACTACAATAATAGAATTCACTTCTTTCACCCTTCACCCAGGCAGAGCAGAACTCACCTGCCATGTGAGTATGTTAGTTTGTTGTTTTCAGAAGGAATCTTAGCCAGAATCTGCTCCGTCACTTCCAGGAAGTTTCCTCCGCACCAAGCATGTTTGGCAAGGATGGTAGTTCCTCTGGCCACAACAGCAAAAAGAATGGCCATGGTTTTAATCTATCAAAGGGAAAAAAGGCACAAGACTTAGAATATTTCTTTGATATGATCTTTCAAAAGTAACTTAATATCATTTATCAACATATGCCTGGAGACAGTACTGACCAAGACATTATAACATTAAATGTAATAGACTTAATTACAGGCTTAACAAGAGCGTCAACCTATGAACCAGGAGTTCATGGTTTGATTCCTGGTTAGGGTACATGCCTGTGTTGCGGGCTCAATCCCTAGTAGGGGATGTGCAGGAGGCAGCCGATCAATGACTCTCTTTCATCACTGATGTCTCTCTCTCTCTCCCTTTTTCTCTGAAATCATTAAAAATATATTTAAAAAGGATCACCATTTTGTATAAGCTTACAACCTAAACCATGCTGATATGCATACATATATAGATGCTAGAGGCCCAGTGCAGGAGATTCGTGCACTTGGGAGGTCCCTCAGGCTGGCTTGTGCCCTCTCACAGTCCGGGAGCCCTCAGGGGATGTCCGACTAACGGCTTAGGGGAGCAGGCCTAAGCCATCAGTTGGACAATTTGCATATCAGCCTTTTATTATATAGGATAGGATACCAAATAATACATATATGCAAATAATACATATATGTATGTGTGTATACAAGGTGATATATATGTGATACATACACATATACCTTACATTGATGGATAGGTTGCATTTGTAAATTATACAGCACAAATTCATATCACCCTTTAAAAAGCGATGACCACAGATACCAAAGGGACATAAAGATGTCTTCATCCTCTAATGCAATATCATCCTGAAAATTTATCCTTAGGAAACAGCTCAACAGAAGTTAGACTCTAGATTCCTAAAGATACCTATTAACAATAATAACCCATATTGTAAAACTTTAGACAATAAAGAGAAATAATAGCCCATATTTATTAGGTGCTTACTATGTGCTAGGCACCATTTTAAGCATTTTACCAATATTAGCTCATTTAGCCTTCACATGAATGAAATTATGCACTATTATGAAATGTACATTAAAATGAAGAAACTGAACTATAGATGACTTACATAATTTGCCCAAAATTACAGAGCTAGGAAGTGATAAGAGTTGGGATTTAAATCCAGGCAGTATGGCTCTAAAAGCCACAATCTTATCCCCTATACTAGTAGGTATACTGCCTCTATTAGAAAGGCATTAATCACCCATAACAGAAACAAAGTGAAAACAAGCAACATTCCATAGGAGAGGAGTGCTTCTTTAAATTATCCTTCAGAAACAAAGCATTTCTAAAACAATGCAGCATGCATTTAAGATTATTTTTATCATATTGATGACTTTGTAGCACTGCTTTCCTCCACGACAGCCCAGTTTGTCTTATCTAATGCTATCCACTTATAAAAAGGGATGCAAAAAATGCCTTCCTAGTCTTCAACTAACTCTTCAACCTAATGCTGTTTATGTTCAGTTTCATCCCATAAGACAGTGCTTCTCACACTGCAGTGAATGAGTCATCTTAGGTGGCAGAGTAAGCGTCACTTGTTAAAATTTCATATTCTTGGCAGTATCCCCTGCAATTCTGATTCAGTAGGCCTGATGTGGGGCCTCGAATATGTGTCTAATACAAGCCTGCCTGGATGCAGGTGATTCATACAGCCGCATTTTGTGAAACACGGCAACAGATATA